CCTCCCCCTCCCCTCTCCCCTCCTCTCTCCCTCTCCCCCTCCCCTCTCTCCCTCCCCTCTCCCCTCCCTCCCCCCCCTCTCCCTCCCCTTCCCTCTCCCCTCCTCCCTCCCCCCTCCTCCACCTCCCCCCCCCCTCCCTCTCCCCCTCCCTCTCCCCCCCCTCCCCCTCCTCTCCCTCCCTCTCTCCTCCCCCTCCCCTCTCCCCCTCCCTTCCTCTCCCCCCTCCCTCTCCCCCTCCTCTCCCCTCTCCCCCTCCCCTCTCTCCCTCCCCTCTCCCCCCTCCTCCCCTCCCCTCTCCCCTCCCCTCTCCCCCCCTCCCTCTCCCCCTCCCCTTCCCCTCCTCCTCCCCTTCCCTCCTCCTCTCCCCTCCCCTCTCTCCCTCCCCTCTCCCCCCTCCTCCCCTCCCCTCCCTCCCCTCTCCCCCTCCCCTCTCCCTCTCCCCTCCCTCCCCTCTCCCCCTCCCTCTCCCTCTCCCCCCTCCCCTCTCTCCCCTCCCCTCTCCCCCCTCCTCCCCTCCCCTCTCCCCCTTCCCTCTCCCCCTCCCCTCTCCCCCTCCCCCTCCCCTCCTCCTCCCCTCTCCCCCTCCCTCCCCCCCCCTTCCCCTCCCCCTCCCCTCTCCCCCTCCTCTCTCCCCCCTCCTCCCCTCCCCCCTCCCTCCCTCTCCTCCCTCTCCCTCCCCTCCCTCCCTCCCTCTCTCTCCTCCCCCTCCCCTCTCGCCCTCCCTTCCCTCTCCCCCTCCCCTCTCCCCTCCCCCTCCCCTCTCCCCTCCCCTCTCCCCCTCCCCCCTCCCCTCTCCCCCTCCCCTCTCCCCCTCCCCTCTCCCCCTCCCCTTCCCTCTCCCCTCCTCCTCCCTCTCCCCCTCCCCTCTCTCCTCCCCTCTCCCCCTCCTCCCCTCCCCCTCCCCCTCCCTCTCCCCTCCTCTCTCCCTCTCCCCTTCTCTCTCCCCCTCCCCCTCCTCTCCCCTCTCCCCTCCCCTCTCTCTCCCCTCTCCCCCTCCTCCCCTCCCCCTCTCTCCCCCTCCCTCTCCCTCCCCCTCCCCCTCCCCCTCCCCCTCTCCCCTCCCCTCTCCCCTCCCTCCCCCTCCCCTCTCGCCCTCCCTTCCCTCTCCCCCTCCCCTCTCTCCCCCTCCTCTCTCCTCCCCTCCTCTCCCTCCCCCCCTCCCTCCCTCTCCCTCCCCTCTCCCCCTCCCCTCTCCCCTCCCCTCTCCCCCTCCCTCCCCCTCCCCTCTCCCCCCTCCCCTTCCCCTCTCCCCCTCCCCTCTTCCCCCTCCTCTCTCCCCCTCCTCCTCCCCTCCCTCCCCCCCCCTCTCCCCCTCCCCTCCCCTCTCCCCCTTCCTCTCCCTCCCTCTCTCTCTCTCCTCCTCCTGAGAGTTCAGCCTGGGAATGATCCCTAGTCTGGGCTTGGGAGCTGCTTGAGCCCCACAAGGGAGAAGGGAGGGCAGCACCTTCCCTGCAGCCAAGACAGCCTGGCAGCCCTCCAGAAGGAAGGAAGGAGGGAGGGAGGGAGAGAAGGAGGGGCCCCACAGGCAGATCCAGCCCCGCCCCCTTTTGCCTGACAGGCCCCGCCCCCTTTGTGCGCCCAGTGGCCACGCCCACTTTGCGTCAGAAAGGCGCCGACGTCTCCTAGGCCACGCCCCCCTCGTCGCCGCCATGTCTGAGAGGAAGACAAGGAAGGCGGAAGTAAGTGAGAGTTGTTGTTGTGGACCCCTCTTGCCCTCCTCCTCCTCCTCCTCCTGTGTCTTCCATCCGGGACATATTTGGGCCTCTTCCCACTCGACCAAGGCAGGCTGAGGCGGGCCAGGGATTCCTCTCCTGCCTCTGGGCCTCCCTTGTGCCTCAGGCAGATCAAGAGAGAGGGAGGGAGGCCTTCCTTCCTTCCTTTCCAGACTCAGCCGCGGCCTCCTCCTCTTTCCTGAGGGATTCCTTCCTTCCTCCCGGGAGGCCAGGCCCAGAGAGAGAGAGACAAAGAGAGAGACATCCGGGCCCTTCTGGAGGGAGGGAGCCTCCTCCTGGCAGAGCCTGCCTTCCGCTTCCCACCCCTTTTGGAGCAGGAATGGGACCCTCCTTCCTTCCTGTGCCTTGTGTTCTGATCTCTGCTCTGAGTCTCTTAAGATGCCTTTGAGAGAAACACCTTTCCATGTCCCTCTTTGAGAGAAATGGATTCCAGTCTGTCTCTTTTATACATAGGTTTGTCATTGGGTTGTTGTAGGTTTTTCCGGGCTGTATGGCCATGTTCTGGAGGCATTCTCTCCTGACGTTTCGTCTGCATCTCTGGCAAGCATCCTCAGAGGTAGGGAGGTCTGTTGGAACTAGGAAAAATGGGTTTATATATCTGTGGAATGACCAGGGTGAGACAAAGGACTTTTGTCTGCCGGGGCTAGGTGTGAATGTTTCAGCTGATCACCTTGATTAGCATTCAATGGCTTGGAAGTGCCTGGGGGGAATCTTTTGTTGAGATTGATTTTATGTGCCTGGTTGTTTCCTCTCTGTTGTTTTGCTGTTGTAATTTTTGAGTTTTTTAATACTGGTAGCCAGATTTTCCCAGCGGTTTTTGAGTTCTGTGAATATCACAAACGAACATTACATTTTTATTTATATAGACTAGCTGTACCCGTCCACGCATTGCTGTGGCCCATTGCGGAGAAATGGGAAAGAAAGAAAAGAGGAAGAGCTGGTTTCTAAGCTATCAATACACAACTGAAGTGGCAAAGTGTCAGCCTAATATAGGCCCATTTCAGTCTCCTTGAGGCCAAAGGGTTATATGGATGTGTGGAAGGGCCGTGGGTTACCTGAGTCCACACTGCCATATAACCCAGTCCAAAGATATTATATAGATATTATTGTTGTTGTTGTTACAGATGTATAGATATTATTATAGGTATATAGATACTATTATAGACACAAATATTATTAAAGGCATGTAGGTATTATGTTTATAGATGTTATTTATTTATTTCATATCAAAAGCATTGCATAAATTAGTATAAAACTGATTGAAAATAGAAGGAGCACAGGGCTAAATATCTTTCGAGCAAAAACCGGGAACAGATGTATGGATATTATTACAGACCTATGGATATTATTATAGGCATATAGATATTATAGATATTATACGTGAATATAGATATTATTATTATAGACATAGAGATTATAGGCATATAGGTATTATTATTATAATAGATGTATAGATATTATTGACAGACAGATATTATAATTATAGACATATGGATATTATTATAGACATGTAGATATTAGGCTTGGGTAACTATGGAAAAATTTGGTTCTAAACTCGTTTCGTTTTTTAGGGGGGCCCTTGCATTTCGTTTTTTTAAAGAATTCCGAAATTTCCCTTTAAACAATTTCGAAATATACGTTAATGGCGGATGAAATTGTGCAGTATGCTAAAAAAATCCTCCAAATGGGACAGGGGGAACTTCTGAAGCTTCCCTCTCCCTCTGTTGTTGACTGTTGGTGTGATAATTTAATTTTTATCACTGATAAAACAAACAACAACTATAAAACTTGCACCAGACATACGGAAATAATTACGAAACAATTACGAAACAATTTTGAACCAATTACGAAACAATTACGAAACAATACGAAATAAATTGGAAAAATTGTTTCGATTTTTAATTACTCCTCACAGTAGTCCTGCATGGCTCAATATTGGATCGTAAGCTAATTTAAATACGAATTAATAACGAATTATGAAATTAACGAACGAAACCGCCCAAGCCTAGTAGATATTATTGTTACAGGCATATAGATATCATAGACACACACACACACACACATATATATATGGTAGACTTATATATTATTATTATTATGATAGATATATAGATATTATTATTGTAGATATATTTATAGCCCAGGGTTGCTATAAAGTAAAACTTGATGGACATCTTTTGGGAGTGTTTTGATTGTGCCTTCCTGGGCAGCCTTTGCTAACTCACAGAGCACGCCTTTTTGTCCTTTCTTTGAATACTGGACTTCATTTCCCAGAATTCCTTCCCATAACTCAATATGGGTGAGCTTTCTCGGCACACACACACACACACAATCCCTCCCGTGTGAGTTCCCAGCAGGTACCTCCATGCTGCCGAGAGCCAAGACTCAAGAGAGAAAAGGGGGGGGGGGGAAGGAAAAGGAGAAAAGAGAGGGGGTCAATTTGGAGAAGGATGTTCTCTCTCTCTCTCTCTCCCTCACTCACTCACTCCTTCCTTCCTAGAAATATAAAGGGTTAAATAAAATGTGTACAGTCTCCGTGAGGTAAAGTGATGGAAGTCAATGTAGTGGGTAGGTTGTGGGGTTGCTGTACTGTGGGTGGTGGGTTGTCTTTGTATGTGCATATGTCAGTAAAAAAATACATTGTCTGATAACATCTTTAAAAATATCTAAATGCCCCCCCCCCCTCTTTCCTCCTTTTAAAAGCTTTAAAAACCTATCTATGCAATCTAGTTTATGGAGAGGCGGAGGATGAATATCCTTTTGCATATATCCTCAGGTTGGTCTACCTCAGCCCGCTGGACATGGCATAGTATTTTATTTCAATGTATTGTGTTTAATTTGTATGACTCCTTGTGTTACATTATGTTTACTTAATTTAATTCTCAGCTAATTTTTGGTTGGTTTTATAAGTTATATTGAGATCATTTATTCCTTGTTTACGTCTTTATTGCTATGCAGCTGTTCTTGGCATTGAATGTTTGCCATTTTTGTTTTTTCCTAGAAACCACCCAGAGTCCCCTCGGGGGGAGAGGGCAGGTTATAAGTAAAATTATTATTAGTAGTAGTATTAGTATTATTAGAATTAGTATTATATGTATACCCTGCTTTATCCTGCCAAAGGGAGATAAATATTAGGAATCACCCTTTCTTTCTTCCTTCTATCATTCATTCTTTTCATTCTCCATCCTTTCTTTTTGTTTTTTCTTTCTGGATTCTTTCGCTTCTTGTTTAAGAATCAGTGATTGCCTTTGTTGGCATCTGTGTATGTCCTTGAGACCCTGATGTCTGCATTTCTTGGTATTCCCATTTTCAACATGACCCATGAAGGGAAAAGGAGGAAATCTTGCAGGTAAAGAAGGTTTCTGTCTTTCATCACTGATCTTTTGCTTCTTTCTTCACCAGGGAAATGAGGATTCTATGGAGCCAACTCTTGGGTGCAGTAAGGAAACCATTAATATAGGAAGAAGGAAGAAAGAATCTCAAGGTGATGATCTTGCCGATTCCTGACTTCATTTACAGATAAGAAAGGGAAAAAAGTAGTGCCAACTATCTGCATTGCAATTCAACATCCATATCACTATTGACATGGAGGAGAAAGCATTTAAATGCCTGGAGTGTGGAAAGAGTTTTACTCGGAGGGATCATCTGCAGAAACATGAAAGAACCCACACTGGGAAGAAGCCCTATAAGTCTCTGGAGTGTGGACAGAGCATCACTCATCGTTCATATCTACATAGACATCAAACAACTCATACTGGGGAGAAAGCCTATAAATGCCTGGAGTGTGGAAAGAGCTTCAGTGAGAATGAAAGTCTACGTGTGCATGAAAAAACTCATACTGGAGAGAAACCCTATGCATGCCTGGAGTGTGGAAAGAGCTTCACTAACAATGGAAGTCTACATTTGCATCAAAGGACTCACACTGGGGAGAAACCCTTTAAATGCCTGGAGTGTGGACAGAGCTTCAATAACAATGGAAATCTACGTACACATCAAAGGACTCACACTGGGAAGAAACCCTATAAATGCCTGGAGTGTGGACAGAGCTTCTCTCGTAATTCAAGTCTACATTTGCATCAAAGGACTCACACTGGGGAGAAACCCTTTAAATGCCTGGAGTGTGGACAGAGCATCAATAACAATGGAAATCTATGTACACATCAAAGGACTCACACTGGGGAGAAACCCTATAAGTGTCTAGAGTGTGGACAGAGCTTCACTGTCAGTGGACATCTACGACTGCATCAAAGGACTCACACTGGGGAAAAACACTATGCATGCTTGGAGTGTGGAAAGTGCTTCATTGATAATTCAAGTCTACATAAACATCAAAGAATTCACACTGGGGAGAAACCTTATACATGCCTGGAGTGTGGACAAAGCTTCAATGACAATGGAAATCTACGTACACATCAAAGGACTCACACTGGGGAGAAACCCTACAAATGCTTGGAGTGTGGACAGAGCTTTATTCGTAGTACACAACTACGTTCGCATCAAAGGATTCACACTGGGGAGAAACCCTTTAAATGCCTGGAGTGTGGACAGAGCTTCACTCGTAATTCAGGTCTACGTTTTCATGAAAGGACTCATACTGGGGAGAAACCCTATATATGCCTGGAGTGTGGAAAGAGCTTCACTAAGAATGGAAGTCTACTTATGCATCAAAGAACTCACACTGGGGAGAAACCCTATAAATGCCTGGAATGTAGAAAGAGCTTCATTGATAGTGGAAAGTTACGTTTGCATCAAAGGACTCACACTGGGGAGAAACCCTATACATGCTTGGAGTGTGGAAAGAACTTCCCTTATAATTCAGGTCTACGTTCACATCAAAGGACTCATACTGGGGAGAAACCCTAAACATGCCTGGAGTGTGGACAGAGCTTCACTCAGAATGCACACCTGTGCTCGCATCAAAGGACTCACACTGGGGAGAAACCCTATAAATGCTTGGGAGTGTGGACACAGTTTCACTCAGATTGGAAATCTACGATTGCATCAAAGGACCCACACTAGGGAGAAACTCTAGAAACGCATGGTGTGTGGAATGAGCCTGAGAGTTCAAATCTACATAGACATAGAATTCACATTGGAAAGAACAGTAGTATTTGACCCCAGAGAGACTCCCGAAAACAGAGCTTTCCAAACTTTTCATGTTGGTGACACTCTTTTTAGACATTCATCCTTTCGCAACGTGGTAATTCAGTTCAACTGGAAACCAGAGGTTAAACCAACCCCTTATAAGATTTTGAATATAAATATTATATCATAATATAGACAGATTTGTTTTATATAATCACTATTACATAAAAAAGTCTTATATCTTTTCAAAATCGCTAATAGACTTACTCTTATTCCAGCCAAATTTAGTTTATATCCTTCTAGATAGAGTAAAACTCAATTTTCTAATCTAACCCACTCCTTTAGCCAGTGGAAGCCTATCGCTTCATATTAATAACCAATGTTTGGCAGCGCTAAGCCCCCCTCTCTTTGACATCTGTTAGGTTTTTGCAAGCAATGATAGCTTTTCTTCCATTCCATATAAATTTAGTTAAATCCTTAGAGAGATGGGCCAAAACTAACAAAATGAAGTTCAACAGTGCAAGATACTCCACTTAGGCAGAAAAAACAAAATGCTAAGATATAGAATGGGGGACGAGGCCTGGCTCGAGAGCAGTACGTGTGAAAAAGATCTTGGAGTCCTTGTGGACAACAAGTCAAACATGAGCCAACAATGTGATGTGGCGGCAAAAAAAGCCAATGGGATTTTGGCCTGCATCAATAGGAGCATAGTGTCTAGATCTAGGAAGTCATGCTACCCCTCTATTCCGCTTTGGTTAAACCACACCTGGAATATTGTGTCCAATTCTAGGCACCACAATTCAAGAGAGATATTGACAAGCTGGAATGTGTCCAGAGGAGGGCGACTATAATGATCAAGGGTCTGGAGAACAAGCCCTATGAGGAGCGGCTTAAGGAGCTGGGCATGTTTAGCATGAAGAAGAGAAGACTGAGAGGAGACATGATAGACATGATATAAATATGCGAGGGGAAGTCACAGAGAGGAGGGAGCAAACTTGTTTTCTGCTTCCCTGGAGACTAAAACACAGAGCAGTGGCTTCAAACTGCAGGAAAGAAGATTCCACCTGAACATTAGGAAGAACTTCCTAACTGTGAAAGCTGTTCACCAGAGGAACTCTCTACCTCGAAGTGTGGTAGAGCATCTTTCTATGGAGGATTTTGAACAGAGGCTGGGTGGTGCTTTGAACGTGATTGTCCTGCTTCTTGGCAGAATGGGGTTGGACTGGATGGCCCACGAGGTCTCTTCCAACTCTAGGATTCTATGACTGGCATTGTGGTGAAAGTGAAAAGTGAGCGTCCTTATTCTGCTTCCCTCCAAGTGCAAAGTTCGCACGGTACGAGGAACATCCAGAAAGTCAGGTTACAAGATTTTTTAAAACCTGTAGGCCTGGCTCTGTTGGTTTAGCCTTTTTGCCTCAGAACTTGTCTGAAAGGGTTTTCCCTCCTTATTCTGGGTTAGAGCTTTAGAGAAGAAGGCCAGAAATTGTCTGGGTTCCTTGGCCTGGCAATCTAAACAGGCATTCTATAGCACGTATATACCTCATTATAGCTGTGTATTTACCACATAGTCAACATAGTCTAGTACTTACCACTATAGCCCAGAGTGCTTTACCAATATAGCTTTGTCCATCATCATAGCTTGTACTATACCATTAGCATAGATAGTATTTACCATCATAGCTGTTTATATATCATATAGCTTAGTATTTACCGAGTATTTACAAAACAGTCATTGTACCGTGTACTTCTACCATATAGTTATTATAGTTCTGTACTTTACCATTTTAGTCCAATATTTTACTTTCAATAGCCAAGTATTTTACCAAATGACTTCCCACAATTATAGCCAAGTATTTTACCTCATATTGTGCAAATATAGTCAAGTGTTCATTTCCAGTGTAACCAGATTCAAGCAACAAACTTTGTCTTTGTAATATTTTATTTTGATTCGCCTTTCAAGAACTCTGACTGAAGTTAACTTTGCCTTTTGTTCCAGTAAACTTATTTGGTTCTCTTTAATCCTGTCTCAAGAGTCTTTATTTTAAAGAACTGAAGTACATCAGTGGGTATGCCGATAGCCACCGGGAATAGCCAGACTTATAGTTTTCCTTTTACACCCGGCGTGCGATCACAGTGCTATAGACCTCTTTGGCCATGCCGAATGGATTGCCAATAGAAAGTTAAAGTAAAAGCCTGTTCTCTGTGAAGGGTGTGGGAGAGAGAAAGGCCCTGTTTACACAGTGCTGAGGTCCTGCTTGGCCCTGTCATTTTGGGGTTGCTTACAGAAAAATACTTCTTGGGAGGAGAGCAATGTCCAATCTCGATAAAATAGTCAAGAGTAGAGACATCAGACTGGCAACAAAGATCCGCCTAGTCAAAGCCATGGTATTCCCTGTAGTAACCTACGGATGTGAGAGCTGGACCTTAGGGAAGGCTGAGCGAAGGAAGATCGATGCTTTTGAGCTGTGGTGTTGGAGGAAAGTGCTGAGAGTGCCTTGGACTGCAAGAAGATCCAACCAGCCCATCCTCCAGGAAATAAAGCCCGGCTGCTCATTGGAAGGAAGGAGACTAGAGACAAAGTTGAAGGAGGAGACATGAGGAGACAGGAAAGCCTAGAGAAGACAATTATGCTGGGGAAAGTGGAAGGCAAAAGGAAGAGGGGCCGACCAAGGGCAAGATGGATGGATGGCATCCTTGAAATGACTGGACTGACCTTGAAGGAGCTGGGGTGGTGACGGCCGACAGGGAGCTCTGGCGTGGGCTGGTCCATGAGGTCACAAAGAGTCGGAGACGACTGAACAAATGAACAACAACAACACAGAAAAATAAAGAGATAGCCTGCTCCCTGAAAACTTCCTGACTGTGAGAGCTGGTAAGCAGGGGAACTCTCTGCCCCGGAGTGTGGTGGAGGCTCCTTCTTTGGAAGCTTGTAAACAAAAGCTGGACGGCCATCTGTCAGGGGTGCTTTGAATGCAATTTTCCTGCTTCTTGGCAGGGGGTTGGACTGAATGGCCCATGAGGTCTCTTCCAACTCTACGATTCTATGATTCTACATGCGAGTGTGGAGAATAGCAAACCACAGACCACCTGCTGCAATGCAACCTGAGCCCTGCCACATGCACAATGGTCTTCTTGCGGCAACACCAGAGGCACCCCAAGTGGCCAGCTACTGGTCAAAGGACATTTAATAGAATACCAAGTCTGCAAACTTTGTGTCTTGTTTGTTTGTTTGTCTGTTTTTTAATGCAATACAACTGTTTTGGTTTGCTCCTGACAAGATAAATAAATAAATTCTAATCTATCTAGGCTAAGTACTCATTGAGGGCTGGAGCCTTGTAGAGTCAGGGATGAAACTCAACACTAACCAAATCTGTTTTTGTAGTGGCATGTCTTTATCCTTGGCAGTTTAAAGACATGGTTCTTCAGTTTAACAGCTGAGTTACCCATGTGCCATTCCATGAATGCTTATGAATATCGCTTGTTCAAAGAGTTGACTTCTAACAAGGTCATGCTTTAGGTTCTTGTGGGGTTTTATTTATTTATTTATTATTTATTTATTACTGCGCTTGTATACCGCTGTTTCTCAGCCTACATTGGCGACTCAACGCGGTTTACAACACTACAACAATCAACAATATTCCGTTTAAAAAGCATAAAAACACATACACAATACACAATATTATTGGGCCACCAATAACAATCCGATGCATCTCTTAACTAGAATCGCAATCCAATTTCATCGTCTGTGATTACCAATCCTTGATCATCAATTTCATTGCACCGAATTAATCGAATGCTTGTTTGAACATCCATGTCTTCAATCTTTTTCGAAACACCATCAGCGAGGGGGCTGATCTTACCTCTATGGGGAGGGCATTCCAAAGCCGAGGGGCCACCACAGAAAAGGCCCTGTCTCTCGTCCCCGCCAGCCGCACCTGTGAAGCAGGCGGGATAGAGAGCAGGGCCTCCCCAGAAGATCTTAGGGTCCTGGTGGGCTGATAGGCCGAGATACGTTCGGATAGATATGTTGGGCCAGAACCGTTTAGGGCTTTAAAGGCCAACGCCAGCACTTTGAATTGGGCCCGGTAGCAAATCGGCAGCCAGTGGAGCTGGTACAGCAGAGGAGTTGTATGCTCCCTGCGCCCCGCTCCTGTTAGTATCATGGCTGCCGCCCGTTGGACTAATTGGAGCTTCCGAGCCGTCTTCAAAGGCAACCCCACGTAGAGAGCGTTGCAGTAGTCAAGACAGGATGTAACCAGAGCGTGGACTACCGTGGCCAAGTCAGACTTCCCAAGGTACGGTCGCAGTTGGCGCACAAGTTTTAACTGTGCGAATGCTCCCCTGGTCACCGCCGAAACCTGGGGTTCCAGGCTCAGCGATGAGTCCAGGATCACACCCAAACTGCGAACCTGCGTCTTCAGGGGGAGGGCGACCCCGTCTAACACAGGCTGTAACCCTATACCCTGTTCGGCCTTGCGACTAACCAGGAGTACCTCTGTCTTGTCTGGATTCAATTTCAATTTGTTCGCCCCCATCCAGACAGTCACAGCGGCCAAGCACCGGTTCAGGACCTCGACAGCCTCCTTAGTAGCAGGTGGAAAGGAGTGACAGAGTTGGACATCATCTGCGTACAGATGACATCGCACTCCGAAACTCCGGATGATGTCGCCCAGCGGCTTCATGTAGATGTTAAACAACATGGGAGACAGTATTGAACCCTGAGGAACCCCACAAGACAAAGGTTGTGGGGTTGAACAGGAGTCTCCCAGTAACACCTTCTGAGACCGACCCTCGAGGAATGATCGGAGCCACTGCAGAACAGTACCTCCAAGACCCATCCCCGCGAGGCGTCCCAGAAGGATACCGTGGTCGACGGTATCGAAGGCCGCTGAGAGGTCGAGCAGCACCAACAGGGACACACTCCCCCTGTCGAGCTCCCGACGCAGATCATCCACTAAGGCGACCAAGGCTGTCTCGGTACCATGCCCCAGCCTAAAGCCAGACTGTGCCGGGTCCAGATAATCCGTGTCTACCAAGAATGCCTGGAGTTGTGAGGCCACCACACGTTCCATGACTTTGCCCAAAAAGGGGAGATTGGAAACAGGCCGATAGTTGATGAATTGAGTGGGGTCCAGTGATGGTTTTTTCAACAGAGGTTTTATCACAGCTTGCTTTAAGTTGGCTGGAATTTTGCCCTCCCGAAGGGAGGCATTAACCACCACCTTCACCCACTCGGCCAATCCCCCTCTGGCCTCCTTCAGAAGCCAGGATGGGCAGGGGTCTAGGATGCATGTGGTAGCCCTCATTCCTCCAAGCACCTTGTCCACATCCTCGGATTTTTCGGGCTATAGGGCCATGTTCTAGAGGCATTTCTCCTGACGTTTTGCCTGCATCTATGGCAAGCATCCCCAGAGGTAGTGAGGTCTGTTGGAATTAGGACAATGGGTTTATATATCTGTGGAATGGCTGGGGTGGGGCAAAGAGCTCTTCTCTGCTGGAGCTAGGTGTGAATGTTTCAACTGACCACCTTCATTAGCATTTGAAGGCCTGGCTGAGCCTGGGAAAATCTTTTGTTGAGAGGTGTTAAGATGTTCCTGGTTGTTTCCTCTCTGCTGTTTTGCTGTTGTAATTTTAGAGTTTTTTAATACTGGTAGCCAGATTTTGTTCATTTTCATGGTCTCTTCCTTTCTGTTGAAATTGTCCACATGCTTGTGGATTTCAATGGCTTCTCTGTGTAGTCTGACATGGTGGTTGTTGGAGTGGTCCAGCATTTCTGTGTTCTCAAATAATATGCTGTGTCCAGGCTGGTTCATCAGGTGCTCTGCTATGGCTGACTTCTCTGGTTGAAGTAGTCTGCAGTGCCTTTCATGTTCATGCTTTTCTTGACTAGTGGTTTTCAGAAGGTGGTCTCCACATGTTCATGAAGATTCGCATTTGCAGAACTGATGTGACATCATGTTTACCTTTTCGATAAGGTTATGGTGCACTTATTTCCAATAGGTTATGGAATTTCCAATACTGGAAGCTTTGGTGCTGCAACACTTTTGTGTTGAAAGAAGGGATTCTCAGCAGCCAACGAGTGCAATGGCCAAGTGACAAAAAGAGGGCGCGTTCTGCCACTGTACATTACATTCAGCAGGAAATTTCTTTTTCTTTTTTGGTTTCGAGTCTTTGTAAATGGAGGGGCACTTTAGATTCTATGGCACATTAGCCTTTAAGATGCCCATTCTCAGTAGGTGCCCCTTCCTCCTCCTCCACATCCCTAAAACGTCAGGGGAACGTTTCACAATGGAAACATCATCAGGAGACACCAGCAGAGTGAGAAGGGAAGGCTGCCAGGATGAGCTGCAGCTCCAGGTGCCAAGCACTTTCCCCCGGGAGATGTAGTGTTGTTGAAACTGGCACCCCTGAAACACCCCTGAGCATCTACCAAGGCGTCACAAATTTATTTATTTACTAGCCGTCCCCAGCCATGCGTTGCTGTGGCCCAGTCTGGTGATCTGGAAAATAAAGTAATTAGAAAGTGTTGCTTTCTAATATATGTAATTTCTTTCTGCTTGTGGGTAAACAGTATTTCTTGTTTTTTGTCAGTGTTGATGTGGAGATTGTCTGGTTTGCCTACTCTGGAACAGACAACACATAATTGTCCTTCTTCAGGGATCCCTTTCAAATCTATGATACTATATCTCTCTGTGTGTGAATCATATCTATCTATCTATATCTATGGTTGGATGGCTCTTTGTCAGGAGGGGTTTGTTTACGTTTTCTTGCCCCAGTGAAGGGAATTAGACTGGATGACCTTAAGTATTTTCTGTTGTTCATGGGGGTTCTGTGTGGGAAGTTTGGCCCAATTCTGTTGTTGGTGGGGTTCAGAATGCTCTTTGATTGTAAGTGAACTATAAATCCCAGCAACTACAACTCCCAAATGTCAAGGTCTATTTTCCCCAACTCCATCTGTGTTCATATTTGGGCATATGGAATATTCATGCCAAGTTTGGTCCAGATCCGTCATTGTTTGA